CAGTGGTAGAAAAAATAAAGATAGAAAAGAGCAGCATCTTATTCTTTTAAATTCACGCATCCTATTCCGCTATTAGAAAGTTTGCAATGCCCTGTCATTTTTTTTCTGTCAAAAGTATTCAACTATACTCTTAACTGCTGTGGTTACTGTTCAGTTTTGTACTTGCCACTGTTTAATTCTATTTTATATCACTTTATCCTGAAATTTGTATTAAAGAGGTGGTGTTACTGGCTGTTAAACCTAGTTATGAATTTGCTGATTGTTTGTAAGCATGTCAAGACAAATCTATTTATTCACCTATATGCATGATCTTAAATTTGTTTTGCTTTCTATTACTTGTACTGAAAATTTTCCACTCTTTCTGGCTGGTATCTTGCTTTAAAACACTCCTTTGCTTATTGTGCTCTGAAATTATTGGCTGAATTGCTTGACCAAGTATGTGTTCTTAGTATGATCTTCCAAATTCACATACAGTATCATTCACCATCACCATTATCATGGTTATCCTTGTTAAGCTTAGGAATCCAGCTTTTTCTTTCTTCCCATTTTTTCCTGTGGTAATAACACTATATCACTTCCCGAGCAGCAATTATTATTATTATTATTATTATTAATAAAGTCAGAAAAATGTTTCTGTTCCTTTAACACTGTAATAATTTTGCCCAAATTGAATTTCTTTTTGAGGTGGGGAGAAGAAAACATGAGCACTGTTCCCTATCTCCTAACATGATACTTTTTCTCCATGGGAAGATATATTACGTCATTCTGATTCGGGGCAGAATACGAATATTGATTTCTTAGCCTCTACGGCCCTTTTTATCCCTCCATGCAACTTTCTTGTATGATTGAATTAGGAAGAGATTCAATAATAATAACAGTACTGCACTTAGAATTTACCACGGGCTTATAATTAGAACCATCAAGGGTGCCAGCTTTTGAGCTCTGATTTTGTGTCTGCATTTTTCTAATACATTCTTTGTTGAATGTGTCTCTTTCTATTCATCTTTGAATATGTCCGTTTGGAACAGTTAACAAAAGTTTTGGTTTTGGTTCTAGTTGTTTGTCAACTGAAAATAGCTCTATTTAATAGACCTGTGCAAAGTCTATTAAAAAGATTCTTGAGCACAATTAAAACATTTCTGTTCAAATGATTAAAAGCACCATACTTTGTATACATGCAGTTTATGAAACAGGCATGCAAAATTGTGTAACCTCTTTCTAACGTTTTCCAAAACCATGATGGTTAAATCAGTGTAGCCGTGATTCTACCTTCCCAAACATAGAAGTTTCAATTATTGATTGGGGAAAAGAAAGTACTGATGGTGATGTGCAACATCGTAAAAACACAGGTTATTTTCAGATCACAGCACCAATAAACTGTTTGATTGGCAGCAAATTACTTCATTTGCTATTTATAAACATGAATGTGAAATACATTTCCATTTCTCTCTTGAGTTAATATCAAACAAAATTTGAAATAATAAATATTTATGAGGTCTGTAGGAACATAATCTAGGAATGCTCAGAAATATTCTAATTTAATGACGTCTAGAAGTCTAAAGGAAAGCTTAACCTTTCATACACTTGTGAAGAATTCTTTTAGGGAATCATGCATTATCTGCTATATTCTTCTGGACATCTGATTTTGGAAAAGGCCTTGTTGCACAGGCATCAAGCAATGAAACATCTTCAGTCCTGTGAGTAAAGTAAAAGATTGAATGTTAATTTATATAATGATGCAGCCCCTTAAAGGAATTAGCACCGTTTTTACTACTGCGGCAAAGCTTTACATGAACATAATCATGAACGTAATCATTAACAATAAGTTCTCTACATTGCTTACAGGGAAAATAACGCACATGATATCAATTTAAAATTGAGGTGTGATTCTTGGGGGCATTAAAATGTCATTGGTTTTTATAGAAATTTTACATTTGTGCATAAAAATATGCAGCGCATAGCAAGCATTTCACACCTTCAGATTATAATAGTATAATAATGTTTTGCATAGTATAATAATGTTTTGCATTATCAGTTTTTTACATGAAGATTATTCCTTGTAAGAGCTATTCAAAACAAAAAAATCCCAACTGTTGTTAAACATAGGAGCTTTCTCCCTTTGAAATGTTTTTCTTAGAAGCGAAGTGGAAAACACTGATATGCATGATCATTTTGATAAATACAAAGTAATCCATTTATTTGGCATGCAAGGTACAAAATATTAATTTTGTTAGAAATGCATATTTAGAAAAGAAAAAAATTAGAACCTAAAAATCTATTATAGTTGTTATCTTTTGGCCTAGAATATATTCATGATCTTTTGATTCCCAGATATTTTGATAAGTGATCAATATTAAGTAAAACCTCTAGGAATGCAATCCAGATATGTTTGGATTCATCCATTAATATGAGCCTTCACTGCTCAATTACTACATAGTCTCCCACCTATCAGCTTAATACAGATAAGTGCTTAATGCCAATTCTTACTATACTTAGTCTGGGGTGATGAGTTTCTCAGCTCCCTGGGGCAATTTGGATTCCTGTACGTGGGGCTTCTGTGCAGCCCCAGTAGGAAGGTGGATCTGAAAGTTCCCCAAAGCCCTATACGGGATACTATGTAATACCAGAACTTCTGAACAACTTTGGGGTAGTGCTTCCTTTTTTTTAAGCACTTCCCAGATAAATAGAAAATGATGTGTATTTGCCATTATTTAAATTTTTCTCTGGCAAGTCTATAAAACTTTGAGATTTAGACTATGTTTAATTTGGGTACTTTAGATATTTTCACAATGAAATGTATGTTTTCAGCCTGTAATGAAACCAGTATAGCACCAGAATTCCTGCCTTTTTACTTTCATATTTAAAATGACACCCTCATTTCCTTAGTAAATGTAGTTTGAATATGTACTAGTTATAAACTTAGAAGGTATCTTTTTATGAGTATAAACCCTTTCCTCTCATTTTTCTTATATGTGGACACTTTATTATGAAAATATTGTATAAGGTTGTGTACTAGTGTCAATAAAATTGACATTGTGTTAACAAGCTGTGACTTTTCTGTCAGATTTTTAGCATATTAAGAACAAAAGTCTTTAATGCAGGCAAATCTCTCATTATAATTTGGGGTTGGAATTTGGTGCTGGAAAAGATAATGGGATGAATATGAATCTTGGTGATTTACTTAAAGATGCATTAATTACACATATTACTGAAAAATAAATTACTCCCAGATCCTGCTCCCGTCAAATCCCATTTCGATGCTCAGGTGCAAATTAAAATTCTAACATTATTTTCAAAAAAGGAAAACTTATTTATGAGTGTGAAACTGCAGAATTTCACTTACATTTTAGCTTGGGTCTTAATAACTTCCTAGCTGACAGCATATCCACTTTTCTAAATTAAAATCCCGTGGAAAGTAAAAGACATAAGGAAAAGTTATATAAAGAAATGGCTGGTATCATTATAAAAACCTCCGTAGATTTTTGTGCTGTGCCTTTGCAGAATCTGTAACCCACTTGCCTTCTAAGGAAAGGGAATTGAAACTTATTTCACTGTTTTATTTCACATAGCCATAAATGTATACTGTCAGGCACTTAACATAACTCTGCCCATTTGAAACTGTCCTATTACAAGCTTTGAAATAATCCATCTTCTATTGTTGCAATATAGCATTTCTATCCCAAACACTCAAAGGAGCAACTCATCAAGGTATACTGTATTAATTTTCTTGGATATCGCCAGAGGGCCTGAAGTAGTTTACTTCATCTGTTCTAGATGTGACTTTCTCCTAGGCATTTCTTTAGCACCTTGTGCAGTAAAAATGACAGGCTGCATTAGTAAAAGGGTTTTCAAAAATTACAGTAATGCCGCCTTTGATTGAGATATTAAAAACTGAAGATAGAAGTCTGAAAAAATATATAGCAAGATCCTATTTGGATGTGATTCTGCCCCCTCATGAAACTGTACACACATAGGGAGTCTAGGTTGCTTCTAGGAATTATAAGTAGTGGCTGAAATTAAATATTCCATTTAATCTAAATATGGACTTCCTTATCTTATGACTTCACCATTCACCCACTTTTCAAGGAATGGATCAAGTTATAAGGGAAATGTATGGAGAAGATGGAAGGTTAGCTGCACCTCCTTGCTATGCATGTAATGACTGGGATGGGTGGGATGAATAAATCACAGTAGTTGTTTCTCTGGATGATATAAATTAGATAGTAATTATTAACTGATGGTAACAGTAATTATATTAGTAGAGAAATTTGACTTTTTTACTTATAAATGATTTTTACTCAACTTCAGTTGCAAGTAAGTAAGCATAAACAGTGCAAGAGTCTTCATTTTCCTTTTTCAAAAGAAAGGATGTAGTGTAAATTGCCTAGTTGTGGTTTTGAGTAAGCAACCATTTCCATTTTATTTGGTTACATAAATATGGTTTTGTCTCATTTTAATTAGTTGACAAACCATGATATGAAAAATTTGGATTAATCTTGGATTGGACATTGAACAAATCAATTGTTTTATTTAGGCATAACATAAAACTAGTTTGTTCAAAACCATAATTAGAGACATTATTTTTTTCCTGTTATGCATGAAGGAACACAATAGGAGAAGTGTTTGAGGACAAGTGTAGCAACTTCACTGTTTACAGCAACCTGTTTGTTATGTGAGATCTAAGAAAGGCTTATACATCTGCCACAACTATTCATGATGTCTAGAGCTGGTTACATTCAATTCAATAGAGGCTAAGAAAGCAGCGAATAATAAAAAAAATTCACCGCTACAAGCAATGTGAAACTTATTCCAACCAGTTATCTGTATTCAGAACAGTTTATGTTACTACTTAGAGAACCCTGCCCAAAAGATTGCAATCATTTAAATACCAATAACTCCTCCGAACCTTATGATGCCCTATTACTTAAATGGGTTGAGGGGATTTAATCTTCATATCTACTAAATTAAAGTTTTCTGAATTTATTGTATTGTTCCTTCAGCAGGCTCTCTTGCTGGCAGCCCTCACCTTTCAGAACTGTCAATCAATTCTCAAGGTGGATCAGCCATAGCAAATGCAACTTTGTCTCCTAATTTGAGTCCTGATAATAGGCAAGCTTCTCCATTGATCAGTCCCTTGCTGAATGATCAAACTGGAGTCCGCGCAGACGATGAAGAGGAGGTCAGGAGAAAGGTACTGATGTTGGCTCTACCTATTAGGTATGCAAAGAACATTTAGCATTTTTTCTTTGCTTTCAATAGATGAGTTTTAAAAACTTCCATGCTATCTCTCACCATCTTAAGCTACATAAGCAGTAGGGCTTAGAAGTGATGGCAGAGTTGCCTCTATTTATATGCATATATACCACTTCTAACTCTAGAACTGTTTTGTAAATTTTATATTTTGGGAATATAGTTATTCCTGTTTGCTGATCTTGGGCATTTTTCCTTAATTCTCTGTAATTTTGCAGCATCCAACTCTTTTAATTTCAGAGGTTTCCAACTGACAAAGCATACTTCATTGCTAAAGAAGTTGCCACTACAGAACGGACTTACCTGAAAGATCTTGAAGTCATTACATCGGTATGTTTCTTCCCCCCCCCCTTAAATTAAAACTTATGCAGCCCATTTTTCCCTAAATATTTTTCTTCCTGTCTTTTACTACATCTTCCATTATCTCAGTCAGCATAATCTCTTTTTTTAATATATTTTTTTATTTTTTACAATAACAATCTTTAATGCTTAGTAAATAGCGTGTTGTCTGGATTCATATATTTAAAAAACAATAATTCATTTCCATAATTCCATAATTAATCTATTAATTAATGATATATTTCCTTGATCTTCTCTTCTTCCAGTAGTATTGTCCTTTTGTCAACATTAAACAAATATAGTTCTTAATACTTTTGATACATACAAGGTTGAATAAACATTTTTCTTGTGTTTGTACAAATAACAGTAACATCAGTATATAACATCTTTTCTAATCAGCTTATGTTTCAATTGTATTTATAAAAGTCATCTTATTAAGTCACTATATGTCCTGTTTTCAAGATTCTTATTTAAGCTTAATTTCCCCTCTGTATTCAAACCATTCTTATCAGTCATAATTTTCTCAAAGTTAATTACCTTTAAATATCCAAACTTTTCATTCACATACACCATCCCAATATTTTTACATTCATATATTATAAAAAATACTATACTACTTGTATATTTTATCCCTCTTGCTGTAGAGCCCCTTTATATCCATAATTTATCTATTCTCTTAACCAAGTATTTAATCATATAGTACTCCATCTGGTAAGTCAAATCAAATCTCTTGAATCTAACTCTAATGTTCATAGTGTTCAGCTTGCCAGGCGATTCTTCCTGTATTTTTGTGAATGTTGTTGGGAATAGGAAAGACCTGTTAAATAGGATGTACGTTTTTTGTCTCCCAAACTCTAATGATTCTCCTGGCTGCTCTATAATCCATTTTGTTAAATCTTCTTTCCTATCTTCAAGTTTATTTTGAAGTCCTGAAAAATAAAATATCTTTTCCATTTCAATTGTTGTGGCAAAGTCTTGCATGTTTTCTTTTGTTTGCATTAAGCTTTAGTTCTCTTCATTTGTAGCTTCCCTCTTTGGGTCGCTGTCCTCTAGTTTGTGTTCTGTTATCTGGTTTGTTTGTTCATTCTTTGGCGTCAATTTCTGAGGGTTTTTTAATTGTTAAGTTTAGGTTAAAGATGTGCTCATTTATGTCATCAAAGTTGTTTTTAATCTCATCATGATTTGAAACCATTGTCATTTGAATCTGTCACAGCATTGCATACATTTCCTCCTGGAAAATATTTGCCTTGTCTTGGAGTATTGCTCCTGCAGATCTCTGATGTTCCAGGCTGGGGCCTTCAGAAGGAGATATTAGGTGTGGTTTCCTGCCACTTTTAGATAGGTATGCAACATCCATTTTATCTCCCCCCCTCCAGAAAGTCTTTCACTGGTACCATAGTCTCTGTGATTAGCCTTTTCAAACCAGCCAATCTTAAAGTCCAAACAACCAAATCTTACATAGTTTTTATCTATATATATGGTTTTTATAATCCAATGCATTTCCAATTGTCAAAGCACCACTAAAAGCAGTATTTTATAACAGTTCTTTTGTTCAGGGGTCTTACAATTATCAGCCAGCCAAAATTGCAGTCCAGAATGTTTAACCACCAAAGCACCTAAGAGCTTTCCATTAAGTTCCCCCGTAGAAGATTAGCCAAAAGTCAAGGTTTTTCTTTCTTTGCAAACAATTCTTGAGCTTAGAGATCACAGCTCAGTAAGTATTTATAATCCCAGAAGGTCAGCAGCTTTTAAAACAAATATAGTTCTCACTCTGTAGTAGGTGGCTCAGTGTATTTTCTTTCCTCTGTTCCCAGCTGTTCTCTATTTGGCTAGAAGTCACTGAGGTTCAAAGAACAAGTTGTTCTTTATTTCTGGGCATCTTACCAATTTCTGAGTCAATGCAACTGTTGTTCTATGCTATAATCCTCCACTAGATGTCAGTAGTTATTCATTTTCCAACTTTTAAAACTTTGTTATTTTTTTGTAATTTCATCAATACTCTTTCAGATGCGAAATCTTAACAGTTTTCATAATTTTCCGATTTATCCAAACTGTAGTATTATTAACTTCATTTCAATATATTTCTGTCCTCCATAAAAATTAAATCACCACTTCCGTCTATGGAAGGGTGAGGGTGCGGTCCCCTCCCTTCTCACTTTCGGAGGATTTTTTGCTTCTTGGGGATCTTTTCCAGGAAATTGGTTACAAAATAGAAGAGAGAAGATCGATATTCTCACCCAGTTCCAAGCATGCTGTTCACAGTTGTTCTGGTTAGTGCTTTTGGACTTTGGCTGCTGGTAGCTTGGGCTAGTCACTGAGGCGTAGCTAGCTTTTCTCCTGTTGGTTTGGAGGGCTTCCCCCAGATCAAATGGATCAACTGCTGTAGTTCCTTGCTCATCAGGGGGCCCTTCCTTTGCTGCCTCTCCAGGGCGACTTTAGACCCATTTAGGGTCCCCTAGCAGGGCAAAACCAGCTGTGGGGTGCGGAGCCCAGCAATCCCTTGGCCATATTGCTACGACGCAAGACCGGAAGTCCCCAGTCAGCATAATCTTTATCACAGACATATTCAATCACAAAATGTTTCTGATGTGGTTGGAATTTCATCTACGTAGCAGAGGATAAACATTTAATTGTGTGTGTGTGTGTTTTTTAAAAAAGCACAGATGGATCATTTAATTTCTGATAGTTTTTTTCCTTTTATTTTGTTGCAGTTTTAATGCTTTGTATTTTGGATCTTTATCTCATTTCTATATACCCACAAAACAGCATTCCTAGTATCATTTGTCATTACTGTTCCATCACTTTCAGCAATATTTTAAAATGGAAGAAAATCAAAGGAAACCTGCTTAATAAGCAGAAAAATTGTTTAAGTAACAGTATCCTAATATGTGTGTTCCCAGAGTTTAGCTTTCTACAATGGAATTCAACAGAGGCTGTACAGATAATACTTAATTTGGGATTCTATAGCTTTGTCAGTTCTGTCTACAACATCTTGCTAAATGGAGTAAAAAAACCAAATTAACTGCAACATTGCTCAGCTGCTCTTTTCCAGTAGAATCCTAAAGAGAAATATTTTTTCTCAAGTACTTTCCCATAGATTGTGAACTTTATAGCTTTCCTGGATATTTGAACTCAAGGCTCTGCATTAGGATATGCTTAGATATACCATGAAGAGCACTGAATGGGAATATTCAAAACATCTTTAGAAATCTTTCCTTTTCCAAATACAACATGGAATTATCCCACTGAATAGTTTTAATATCTAAACAGAAGACTACGGATAGTTTCTTCTTGGTGATTTTTCTGCTGATTCTGGATAACTTTGGTATTTTAGAATGACTGCTCAACTCAAGAAATTTAATGTTTTTTGCATCAATGTACACAAACTTATCAAAGATGGAAGTTGCTGGTAAAAAAATAATGAGATATTAGATATTTTTCACTTATTTTAGGGCAGGAGAACTTTAGCTTGGGATCTATTAAATGTAGAAGCATGTTTCTTAAATAAAAGAAGCTGTCCCATTGACAATAAGCTAAAAAAAAACCTAAGTTCAATGTTATAATACTAATTTATTGATAGTTACCACTAAACAAGTAGTGTCTGATTCCCCTATACGCATATCCTAACCAGGAATATCTGTGCCAAGAGTTCCTCTGATTACTATGCTTGGTTTTTCTAGTGGTTCCAGAGCACAGTAAGTAAAGATGACTGCATGCCAGAAGCACTGAAGAGTCTCATCTTTTCAAACTTTGAACCTTTGCACAAATTTCACACCAGCTTTCTAAAGGAGGTAGAACAGCGAATTGCTTTGTGGTAAGAATTCCAGCAGTTATTGTAATAAAATGACATTTTGATGCTAAATATTTTACATTCTATTCTACCATGTCCAATCCAGAATGGATATATTGTCAGTTCCAGCTTGAAGAAAGTCTTAAGGCTATGAATTCATTCAGTTTTATCCACATCCTTCTTCCTTATTTATTTTTTTTATTTAATTTATATGCCCCCCTTGCAATCAAGATAGACTCTGGGAGGCTTTCTTTTCCATTAGAGCTAAATATATATAAAGGGAGTATGCCTCACCTAGAATAAAATGTGCAGTATTTTTCTGTACTAAACATTTAATGCTAAAGTTAACAACAGGACTAGAGTATAAACTTCCCCTCACTGTGTTTTGCCAGGGCTTTCTAATATGGGGGTATGTTCATTGCACTGTGAAACAGACCTATTTTGCTACTTCCTTTTCCTAAATATGTTAATACTGATTCAGTCAGTGCACCACTAAGAAAACAAGCTATTGAGGCTTCAAGTTCTTTAAAGTAAAGAAAGAGTATAAGAAAATACAGATAATTGAGGTATGGGAGTGGGTCAATGTAATACAGTGTAATACACCAGATAATGAGGTGTAGTTGTCTGAATAGTACAGGTAGTCCTCAACTTATACCCATTTGTTTAGTGACCATTTTAATTTACAATGCCACTGAAAAAAATGATTTATGACCATTTTTCACACATATGACTGTTGCAGCATACTCACGGTTAGGTGATCAAAATTTGGACGCTTGGCAACTGGCATGTACTAATGGCTGTTGCGTGTCCTGGGATCATCTTTTGTGACCTTATGACGAGCAAAGTCAATGGGGAAGCCAGATTCACTTTACAACTGTGATATTAACTTAATTGCAACGATTCGCTTAACAATTGTGGCAAGAAAGATCATAAAATGGGGCAAAATTCATTTAATAACTGTCTTAACTTAGCAAAGGATAATTTGAGCTCAATTGTGGCCATAAGTCAAGGACTACCTATAGAAGAAATATTTTCTTAAAAAATTATTCCACTGAAGTTAGTGGAATATGAGCTGTTAGATTTTAATACAACACTACAATGGCATCACAGTTAGGGCCAAGAGCTTTAATTAAAATGATTAATAAGAACAACGGATTGTACAGTATAGGTACCAGAGCCTTTCTAAATTATTTTTAGTTTTGTTGATCTGTATTCTCAAATTATTTTCTGAGGAATATTTGATTTGATTGCATTGCTAATAAACAAAATTGTTGTTATAGGTTTTCAAATTAGCATCTAAAATGTATTTTGATTGCTTTATTGTATTGATTAAAAGCAAGATAGCAGTAATAAAATCATACTAGTCTAGTGAGACGTTTTATTTGTAATAAATATTTATCAAAAGAGACCTTTTTTAATCAATTAACTAAGCACATTTAGAATTCCATTGCTTTTAATAAGAATCTCTTTATTCTTTCATCTTCGTGGATTAGGAGAGGCTGTTTATTTTCATTCCTGAAGCCAATAGTTATATAAAGGAACAATAATCTTTCAATCTGAATTACTGTAGATTGCAGAAGAAAAGACTCTGATCTAATTCACTGTGCTTTAATCATCCCTTCCAAATAAAGCCAAAAATGGAAGTGAAATAGTAGGATGCTGTTATTTATTATATGATATATTTTAAGCCTATGAACTCACCAATAATATGTGCATCTATTTTCACTCTTGCAGTTACCTATTATTTGTGGACATATGTTTGACTAGAGATTTTTCTCCAGACTGTTTTAGTCAAGAGAAACTATGATCTTTAGATGTAGTTTTTTATCCTGTTCCAGCCAGCCTTCCCTAGGTTTCCTACATGGTCTTTAGCAGTGAGGGAACTCTGATTCCCTGCTTGTTGGCTATAGATTATGATATGTTGATGGAGGGTAAAGCAGATGGATTTTGTTAGTGACAGAGTGACTGAAAACAAAATTTGAATCACATCTGAGCTTTATGTTATAAGGCAGCAGTAATATCAAGTGAAGAAATAGGATTCTAACTGATCTGAGCAGCTGTTGTACTTTTTAAAGCGTGTTAAGTCTCTTTTTGTTTTGTTTTCCACCAAAAGTCAGCAGGAAAGGATGTAGCTCATTATTTCCAAAGCATTTATTTTAGCACAACTCAAAATTAAGCACAGTACAGCAAACAAAATTTTCTCTCCCACCTTAGTAATTAGGAAGACCCTGTTCAGATTACATTCCTCCTTTCTCTTGAAATAAAGTGACCTTAAATCATGCAGATGTCTGTTCTGGTTCCATTGCTGAAAGCAGCTGAATAATTTAGATTTTAAGCCAGAATTATTTTTGTTAGGTATAATTGTAGGAACTTATGAGGAGGAATGTGTATACTTAATGTTACATATGTTAACTGCAGCAAGAATTGTATTTGCTCAAAATTGGAAAGATGAAGAATTACCAGCGGCAGAAGAAATGATTAAGAAAATTTTAGATTGTGCAGAAATGGACAGACTGACACTGAAAATGAAAGAGAAAGAAGATTCAGAATATTTTAGAACATGGGATACGTTTTATCAATGGCTAGAAAAACGAGGTAGAAAGAAAGGAGTTTAACATGTATTAGTAAGCTAAATATTAAAACCCAGACAATATGTTGCTGATAAAATATTAAGCATTTGTGACTATAAAAAATTAATAAAATGTTGGGGGGGGGACTAAACCTGCTAAGAACTAATTGAATTTTGCTGCAAGAATGTGGAATATGATTTGGTTTTTAGTAAATCTCAGATAATTTAGAAATGACTTGACTATTTCAACGGTCGGAATTTTATTTTAATTGTTGTACATTACATAGCTATCTGGAAAGAATACATTGCATTACAAATTGTCAAGTACACTGTGGCAATGTGAGTAGTTAAAAACAGTAAAGTTGATTTTTTTAAGTATATTTTGTGACAGCTGTGTCCTGTTTGCCAGTTATGAGCCTTAGTCAGAGAGCTCATTGAAAATTAATCCTGTGTTTAAGGCATCTATCATAGCAATCTTCTTCTTCTTCTTCTTCTTCTTCTTCTTGTGCCATATCTGTTATCGGATGTTGGTGATCATGTTGGCGATCCTGTTTTTATCAGCAGCCACACAAAAAAGTGCTGCTGAGTTTTGTCCAAACCAGCCCCTTAGATTTTGAAGCCATGATGTTCTTCTTCTGCCTGGACCTCGTTTGCCTTCAATCTTTCCCTGGAGGATTAAACGGTTAGCAGTCAACTAACTATAAAACAATGGTGTTTGACTACATATTAGGAAACCTGAGATTCCTGTGAGTTTATTAGGCGTTCCACATTTAAAGAATCAGTAGAATTAGCAATGCTGCTTCTATGTCTGCTTCTATGTCATTTTCAATCTTCTCTATGCAGGGGCATATTAAGTAATTTTTAAGGTTTTTGTCAGGTTCCATCATGCAAGTGGGGAATTCATGATAACCATGGACAGGCAGTATACACTAATGCTAATGCTAACAAATTTGGACTGCAGAAATCTGTCCAACCATCAGATGGCAGGAAAGACATGGAGAAAGTGAGCTATTTCCTATCCTCTTGAGGTCATCCATATTTTGCAGTTCAGGTCTGGTAGCCTTACACTCTAGGTCTAGGATAACCTTATTTGGGATTATGTTCAGAAACTACTGGAATTACTAGATGAACTAGCATGGAAAGATTCTGAAGACAAAAGTTTAGAAAAGAATATCTTCAACAGTCACGTTTTTAGAATTAAGTAATAATACAGAACCATTGAATTATTTCACAACTCTTATGTTATGCAATCCCCTGTGTACAGGGAAATTCAGCTGAGGATCTTAAAACACTTTCTAAAAACAGAGGTAGAATTAGGCCAGAATGGCTTATAGAATTCATAAGCCTTTTTTACACTAAGATGAGCTGCAATTAGAAGATTTAGTGACTTCTCAGAATGTACTAAACATTTAAGAAACCCTTTCAATCATGTATGATGTTTCTATTTTTCTTGTTCTGGTTTATAAAAGAATAGTCTCTACAGCAGGGGTCCACAACCTCGAGGCTGTGGCCACTACCGGGCCGTGGCCTATTTGCAACTGGGCCACGTGAGCAGCAGGCCAATGCGCATGCATGTGTGCGCAGCTTAACTTGCATGAGCAGTGGGTGGCGCACATGCACAGATGTGCACAACTTAACTTGCGCAAGTTGAGCTGCGCATGCACACTGCCCCGCCTCTCGTGCAAGTTGAGCTGTGTGCTTGCATGGCCGGTTCCCCTGTCTCCCCCCGCCGAGCCACCAAGCCGCAAAGGATGGGAGCCGCTATTTTGCAGAATTGCGTTTTAATCTTTCAGGTTTATAGAATCATAAAATCATGGGGCTGAAAGGGACATTGGAGGTCCTCTAGTCCAACTCCCTTCCCAAGGCAGGAGTCCTTATATCATCCCAGACAAATGGTTGTGCAATCTTTTCCTGAAGACCTCCAGCAATAAATGCATACCTGGGAATAAGAGGGAAATCTGTGCTCTTGGACCCAGTGGAGAAAAATAACATGCTGAAAAGAGCAGCTTTATTTACATTGCAAAGCTGTGCATTGCAATAAAGGTCACTGTTATCTTTAGCCAGCATATCCAATATTTCTGGAGGGTGTAGAGTTGGAAAATACTGCATTAGTATTCATAAAAGAAAAAAAAGCCAAGCTACAGCTTAACATACTGGATTTCCTCAAGTGAAATATAAAGTTGTAGTTTAAAGATACCTTTAATTTCTTATTAACTTTTTATTGTAACGTAAATAGCCCAAGATGGGCCTGTAATTGGTATGAATTTTGAATTAATACATTTCACTTGCCAGAAAAGAATAGATGGTATTGGTAATCTTATGTTTTGCTGGGGTTCCTTGAGGCTAGTTATTTTATTTATTAATTTTTTATGCCGCCTATCTCCCCTAAAAGGCAACTCTGGGCAGCTTATAGATTATAAAAAAAAACAAATAAAAAATTAATTAAAATATATTA